TCTGTATATATATATATATATATATATATTCTATCTTATTTTGTTATTTTGTTTTGTTTTGTTTTTTCTCTGCACCAACAACACCAAGTCAAATTCCTTGCAAGTGCAAACCTACTTGGCAATAAACTTGATTCTGATTCTGAACACCTCCCAGTCTGTGGTTTCCAGACACGTGCGGAGCTCCTCCACAGCCTCACTGGTCCAGATCTTAGTTGTGCTAACTACAGGCTTAGCTAGCTTCAGTTTTTTTCTATATGTGGGTATGAGATGGACCATCACGTGATCTGATAGTCCGAGGGCGGCACGGGGCACGGCGCGATAGGCGTTGTTTGCTGTTGTGTAACAGTGATCCAAAGTGTTCTGTTCTCTGGTGGGGCATTTAATAAACTGTCTGTATTTGGGTAGTTCCTGGCTCAGATTTACTTTGTTAAAGTCACCAAGCACAATAACAAGAGAGTCAGGAAAAGTCCGCTTCACATGTAAGACATGGTCCGACAGCGCACGCTGAGCCTCACGTGCGTCAGCGGCGGGTGGGATGTATACAGCCGCCAGGATGAATGAAACAAACTCACACGGAGAATAAAATGGTTTACAGTTTATGAAGAGATATTCCAGAGAAGGAGAGCAGTGTTGTGAGATCACAGTCACATCGGTGCTCCAGCTGTTGTTGATGTAGAAGCAGACTCCGCCGCCTTTTGTTTTTCCGGAGAGCTCCACGCTGCGATCCGCACAGAGGAGGTGAAATCCCTCCAGGTGTAGCGCGCTGTCCGGGATCTGTCCGCTGAGCCATGTCTCCATGAAGCACAAAACACAAGAGGAGGAAAGGTCTTTGTTCCTTCTCATGAGCAGCGCCAGCTCGTCCATCTTGTTGCTGAGAGCTCGGACATTAGAAAGAAATACGCCAGGTAAAGGCGTGCGTGTCCCCCGTCTGCAAAGGCGCACGAGAGCTCCGGCATGTTTGCCTCTCTTACGGCGTCTTCCTCTCTTGGCCAGAAATAGGACCGAGTCCACGGCAGAAACTAAAAAAACTGGTAATAAATCCTTAGGAGTGGTAGCTCTAATGTTTAGAAGCTCTTCACGGGAGTAAGAGCACGCAGACGCACAATTAACTAACAACATAACCTTAGAGGCATTAATGATGATACTGGAACTGACATTTTATAGTTTATATACCTTAATATAATAGGGTTATTAACTTTTTAAATTTACTTTTTAACTTTTCAATTAGATTTTTACCTTTTTTTCCCCAAATTAATTTCCAGTAGGTAATATATGATTGAAGGGCTCATCTAATTGGTCAAATGCCAAAATCAGATGTGCAGCCATGTAGCAGGATCTCTGCTGAATGGATTGATATAGATCTTGTGCTTCTAGACCTCACAGAGGGACGGGAGGACTAAATTTGTATCGGGTATGCAGGGGATAAAAACGCTAAGGGTTAATAAATAACTAATGCTGATTTAATATTGAAATGATGGATTAGGACCACAATGTAAAGTTATTTGCACATTCTCTGAATTTAGTCTAGGATTAAGACATGGGGGGGGGTCCAGGAAGAAGAACAAACTATTTTCTTTTTAACTTTAATCTTATAAACTCAGAACCTGCAGGGAGAATATTTCCTGCTCACTCTATATAAACCAAATAAAGAAGCAACCTAGTTTGACATAAACATTCACTGAGCTTCTCTGGAGAACTACTGCTGAAATCAGGGATTCCAGGAGCTGCCACTAGGGGGCGCGCAAGATGCAAAAGATAATGGCGCTCTGATAATTACGGTAATACCCCCACCCCACCCCAAAACACACACAATAAGAGGTTTAAATAAACATTTAATTGGCAAGAAAGCAAAATTCAAACTGTAACTTTTCTAACTAAATCAAATGTTGACAGTAAACTGTAACTATACAGTCTTTTCACTTTTTTTCACCAGCGTGTTTATCACTGCTGCTCACTTTTATCAAGGCTGCATTAAAAAAAAAGAAAAAGTCTAGAGAGCTGCACTTAAAGGAATTTCTTTTTGTATATTCTTTTAGGTACAAAATGAAAAAATAAAATCTGTCTCTAAGTCTACAATGTATCTAATTAGAAGAAGTATGTTTCTATGGGTTATTTTCAGCAGGATTAAGCAGGAAGTTCTCCTTCATGCATCAGTCTGTGGCTTTAAACACTGAAGCACATTTTTATTCTGATCAGTGCGGTTTATTTCAAAGGTGCAGTTTTTAGCAGGAACAGGGAAACATGCAGAGAGGTGCGTGACTAAACCACAGGCTTGTTTTGAATTCATGACTAAATGCAGCTACCAGTGATTTCACTTGGGAACAAATATAACGAATGATGCAGTTAAAGTACTTCTAAAAGTGAATATTTGTCAAAAAGTAACTCAGGTAGCTGTAACCAGTTACCATCCAGCTCTGGAAATACCACATGGTGCCACTTTAAGTCATTACAGCATGAAACCGTGAACGTGGAGCCTGGCGACTCTCTGTCCTCCTGACCTTTGACCTTCTGCTGATGGAGGCTGGGATGGACATGGAGCAGATCTTCATCTGGGAGCTGAGTTATTCTGAACTCCAAAAGCTGCTGCTTATAAACTCCTAGAAATCCTTTGATTTAACCTAAAAATATCAGATTAACTGATTGAAAATAACTGATTATCGTTATTGGATCATATAAAGATCAGGAGAGAAATTCAAAACTGATTAGAGCAGTTAGTGACTCATTATGTTTCATTTATCCCTGTAAGCATCTTATAAAATACAGACCAATATAACCGACAGATAACAGCTTAATTATATGTTTTTATTTTAGATCTCCATCCTCTAGCTTCAGCATTTTTGATTAATCACGGAAAATAATACATAATTGAATAAACAAATAAAGATACAGAAAAGATTTTTTATTTTTTTTAAAACTAAAGTTTCAAGGTTGAATCAAATTTTGAAATAATTATAAAAACTGCCTTATAATACCACGACAATCCCGATCTAAATCTAAAATAATTCATCATTAAACATTTTTAATGACAGAAACCAGAATCCTAATTGGAAAAGGAGGAATTAAATATTCCAGAAGGTTTCTGATCCTTTTCATCTGCCTCTTTATATGCAAAATATATATATATATATTTAACATTAATGTCAAAAATAGAAAATCTCTTTATTGTCCAAAAATGGGGAAATTCTGGTGTTTAAAGCAGCAAAAAGATTATAGAAAAATGTTCACAGAAATCTGGACCTTAGAAAAATGTCTAAGAATAACATAGTGAAGAAACTGACCCTCATCAGCTGACTGTACATCTTATAATATATGACCTCCTGTAGATTAAGATTAAAAAAAAGTTAACAATCAAGAAAATAAGCAAAGAATACAAGTTAAAAGTTAAAAAGTAAATTTATAATAAATAAAAGTTAATATATTGTAACAATAAAAAGGTGTTCCTTTCGCTCTCTTTGTTTTTCCTGATTAAAGAAGAACTTTTCTTATTATTCTTAATAGTTTAGAGCAAGTGGCTGTTTCTTGTTGTTAAAATAGATGCCATCAGAATATAGATATTTTTTAATGTTGCATAAATAATAAGACCTTTTCCTCCAATAAAACTTCCGGGTGTGAAATTTAGATTTTCAAATTATTTCGCTGAATGCCCTATAAAGGGTTAATATCGTAGAGCTAACCGGTTTATTTATTTATAATAGAAGATGTTATTTTGCTGTATAGGAAGTAGCAGGATCAGAGAAATAAATTAGTTATAATCTCAGGAATATACAAATACAATTAGACGATGTTGGTATGTTGAAGAAGGATTAAAGAAGCAGAGGATGGCGGGTTATGTTTTTATTTTTATAACATTTTAAAGTTATGTCAGTGTAAATATTAAAGCTGTTTTTTAAGGATGATTAATGATCCTGAAGCTAAAATGTATTGATGTTACACTGATACTATCTCACAGAATACTGACACCTGCTGGACATTTAGAGACACTGCAGGCGGCTGATTGGACAGAATAAACTGATTTGATGACCTAGAACAATGATTAAACTTAAATTATTGTTGGTTACATTCTATTATTTCATATCTATGTTAAAACTGAAACTATCTTTGATATTTTTAGATGCAACCAATAAATAATATAAAAAAATTATCATAAGGTGAAAATGTAGGGGAAAATGTAAATGAGGATGATTGTGGAGTAGGATTTTAAATCATAATTTTAAAACAGTAACTTCAGTAAAAACAGTAAATAAACTAAGAGTCAATTTGAAATCAACTTTAATTCAGATAAATTGAGTGATAACTGAGAGGAAAATACAAATAAAAACGACTGAAATGTTCCTATTCCTTTTAGGCTCCAAGATTCTGGATAATTTTAATGATAAACCGCAAAAGATGAGAGATTTTTAGCGATGCATCATGTTGACTGAAACATATTTAAACCCAGTTTAGTGCGTCAGTTAGACACAAGTCCTGGATCAGTCACAGGACTTTCTGGAAGAGACACATGCAACCTGCTGCTGTGAAGCAGGATTCTCCACCATGAACAGAATCAACAATAAATCTGGATCCAGGCTCAAAATGAGCTCCTTGATATGTGCTTGAGAATGGCTTAGTCTCCATTCAAACCCAGGTTTAAAGCCTTGAAGGGAAGCCTAAAGCCCACTGCCAACATTAAGACAGAAAAAAGAAAGACAATAACAAACCATCAGTTCGGGGGTTTGAGAAAATATGGGAATCAGGAAATTCTCTATAAACCAAACTGAATGATTGTTGTTCTCTACTTAAAAAGCACTTTAGAACAAATTTTATGTCTTTTTTTTATTTAAAACTTCAATGGATGCATAAACACCTCATTTTTTAGTGTTTAATTCTGTTTAAAATAACAGCATATCACTGCGGTACACCCTCCTCACCAGTAGGTGGCGGTAATGCTGCCTTCAGGTGTTTGACAACTGCCAGGATAATAATAAACAAAATGAGTAGAAGAAGACGAAGTTTAGTTTGAGACCAGTAAACCGAACCCTCCAGAACCGCAGGCGTCCCGGTTCCGTGGCTCCCGCTGCCTCCCAGCCGGCTGGAAGCTCCATGGAGGCTAGAAGGTGAGCAGATGGAAAGATGGCGGCCGAGAAAGTAGGAGAAATGTTGGCTTTGTTCCTTTAAATGATCTGATTCAGTGGGAGAAGTTGATCCAGGATCTAACGGCTAAACCAGGCTTTAGCTTCAAAGTTTAGGATTTTATTGGACGGCTGGAAAAACTGCCGAGCTACATTAGCCTAGCCTAGCTTAGTTTAGCTTAGCTTAGATATATTAGTGCAAAGTTTACAGTGTAAACATAATATAAAAGTATCAAATCAACCGCCTCCCCTATAGGTGCTGACGTGATATAGTGGCGCCATCTTGGGGCGGTCGACAGCTCTGCTCTCTGTGTTTAGCACAAAGATTTCTATTTATTCACTGGATTGGTGAATGCCCGAAAAAAGTGAAGCCACCGGCCGCCATCTTGGTACTCCCTAGTTAGGCCGGTCTCAATGTAAACAATCTGTGCGCTGCAGCATCAAACAGCGATAATGTTCTCATTTTCAGGGACTGAAGACTTTTAAAATAAAGATAAATTCATCTCTTTGACACAGACTGGCTGCTTCATAGCGTCAGTAGATTAACTTTAACTTAGAATTAATAAATAGGAGCATCACATTGCATAGTCATCATGAAGTCAATTAAGTCTATAAATAATGTAATATAACATATTATACAAACCATCACAAAAAATGTATGTGTTAATAGAGCAGAATAATACAGACGAGCCAAAAGTGCTAAATTGATGATGTACATGGACTGAAGATGAGATGAGGAGAACATCATGGTTGTTTGATGCTGCAGCAGATTGTTTACATTGCCACCGGTCTAACTAGGGAGTACCAATATGGCGGGCGGTGGCTTCACTTCAACCCTGTGATCCAGTGAATAAATAAGGATGAGTGGATGAGCAGAGATGGAATCAACTTAAATCAACTTTAACTCGCTGAATATTGACCCAATTTTAACTTTTTTTTTATTATTTTGTGCAGGAAACAAACAAAAGGTTCAGTGTTTTTAAAGATTCTCAGTTGGGTTCAGAGTAATAGAATAATCTGATAGAGTGGATGCATGTTGCAAAGCACAGCCACTCTTACATTTTGATATTCGTTATTACTATATCCGTATTAATACATGTATGCAGACCAGCTGCAGCCTGGATGGCCCTCCATAGAACTGACAGGTCAGGACCATCAGTTCATAGTTAGTATTTACTGTGCTATGGAGGACCAACTCTGCCATATTTAAAAATAAATACAGAAATAAATAAATGCTCAATAAATATATAAGCATACAATTAATTGCCAACAAAAATACAATCAAAAAATAAAAGTAAGTAGAAATTAAATTATACAGTGAGACACAAATGTATATAACTCTTTAAATTAGCTTCTTTATTTATTCGCCTTTGTAATATTTACCTTATTTTTTTTTTTAAATCTTCAACTTTATTTTTTAATTACTTATATTTTTAAGTATTTCTAGGACACGCCCCCTCCTCATTTAGTTAATGAGACAGAAATGTAAATACAACAGGAAGAAATAAACAGCATAGAAGAAATAACTACGGTAAAAAAAATACAAAGGAAGAATAAAACAGACAAAAATATTATAACATGCACATAAATAAATACGTGGAAATATAAGTAATTAAAAAATAAAGTTGAAGATTATAAAGGACAAAAAAATTAAGGTAAATATTACAAAAGCAAATAAGTAAAGAAACTAAATAAAAGGGTTATATACATTTATGTCTCACTGTATAATTAAATTTCTACTTACATTTATTTATTTATTGTATTTATGTCAGCAATTAATTGAATGCTTATATATTTATTGAGCATTTATTTATTTCTATATTTATTTTTAAATATGGCAGAATTGGTCCTCCATAGTGTGTATACACGAACACGCATGACTTAGAGTGTTTTTAGACTTAGACAACATTTATTGTCTTTTTGTATACAGTGTGTTTATATTAAACTAATATTTGTTTCGCACAGCTTTCATTTCCATCCTTCAGCAGTTCAGCAGTGATCAAAAGTAAACAGTGTGGGAGAAAAAACATGATGTAAAAACAGCATAGATCTGGAAGTTCAGAGCATTAATATCTATGGAGCAATTATGCAGCATTTTGGTTTGGTGTTTGGTCATTTAGACATGATTTAGAGTTTTCTCAACAGTTCAGCAGTCTGATGGCGCTGGGGAAGAAGCTGCTGATAATACATATATATATATATATATATATATATATATATATATATATATATATATATATATATATATATATATATATATATATATATATATATATATATATATATATATATATATATATATATATGTATATATATCAGCTTTTATTGTCAGTAGGAAGGGAGCCAAATGCCAACTCTTAGCGGTTGGTGGAAAACACAGTTCAACACGCCATTTTCTGCTGGAAAGAGGCTAAAAAGTCTGCAAATACTTCTTCTTTTAAAGATCTAAGGTCGGGACAATTGGAACATCATAAAAATGACTTTCCTGTAGATTTTAATCTGTAAAAGAACTAATCCAGGAAGTGCGTTTGTTGAACAGCATCTTAAAAAAACAATAAATCAACATCTAGATTTTGGGCCCAGATGAGGCTGAGATGGTTTTATTTCAATAAAATATGAGTTTATAAAAAACAGCAATTGTTAGGGATGGGAAGGCTCAGTTCCCCCTAATCTAGACCTAGTAACCCGCAGGTCCAGATTATTATTCTGATGACTTAAATCCCTGACAGAGGATGTGCTAATTATATTAGCTAACCGTTAGCATCCTTCCACCTGTCTGTGGTTTCTAACAGGAAGCTGATCTGAACCTTCATCCCAGAGATTATAATCCAGCGGAAGAACGAAGATGAAGGTCAAGGTGAAGGAGGAAATCATAGAGCTGAAGATTGAGGACAGGAGGAAGGAGGAGGCGGAGCTTCTGGAAATCACCGAGATAAAGATGGAGGAAGCCGACGGCGAGGTGGAAACGGAGCAGGAGGACGGCGGCGAGGCGGGAATGGAGAGGAAGGTCAAGAGAATAAAAATGGAAGAACAAAACCTCCACAGCTCCACCTGGACCGAGCCGGACTCCTCTGGGCCACAGGTCAGTGTTTGGGTCGGTTCTGTTCTACTGGGATTTAACCTTTACTGGGAACCAACAAGAACAAAGAAACAGGATAAAAAGGTTAGAAAATCTATTCATAGATTCTGCCTAAAAGAAGAAATGGATGATAAAGTTAGAAACAGGTGGAGAAGAACTCTCCTCCAATAGCAGGGTGTCTGGATGTTCTCTAGTTGGTCTAGGTCTAGGTTTTACTCTTGTCTCATCTTTAGCAGCTTTATTCTGAAAATCCCCACAGGAAGAGATGATTTATTCCCTTTGAACTAAGGCTACGTTCACGGTCTTAGTGCTCTATTTTGATTTCCAAATATGGCGACATGTCTGTTATCTCCTGTATGAACTGCAGTCATACAGCTTTAGTGTCCCGCATGCGCAGTAGAGGACGCCATGATGTCACAATGACATCACAGGCCTGCGTGCTCTGTGTTTAAGGAAGTAAACATGGATTGTAGCGCTGGAGAACATCTAGCGATCTTTCCCAACCTTAAAAACAATGTTTAAAGATGGTTAAACGTAAATGCTGTCTCTGCATCATCGTCCGCCGTGGTTGTTGGGTTTCTTGCTGCTTCTGCGTAGCAGGACGCAGAATAATGACCTATGTAATTCCCTCTCAAGTCAAAAATCAAGAACCCAAGTCGTTTTTTTAGTTACTGGCTTTAATCAGACAGAAGCATGATAGTGTGCCGTGAGAACTGTCAAAACATACAGAAAGAAAAGCAAACAAACTAATTATTTCCCCGAAAAGACATCAAAGGAAAAAAGCGACCATACAATATATGACTCAACAGAAATTCTTCGCGTTACATCTTAACGGTCAAACAAAGTAAACAGTAAATTAAACTAAAATGTACCTCATTGGCCGCTTTTCCTTGAGAGAAAATTAGAATCTTCAGTCCTTTATTCAATGTCCTTATCACTGGTGGCTCAGGCAGAGGAATCAGCGCGGTGTCTGCCTGATTGTTTGTTCCAGAACCACGTTACAGATCCACAGGTACCGACCCTTAAAGGTAACGCTCCGTCGACCCACAGCTGCAACCTCTTAACCCATTAATTAAGACTCGTTCCCCCGTACCAAACAAACAATATTCAAGAAACACATGAAATTATGCTTCTAATATTTAACCTTTATCACTAGAAATGTATGTTTTTATGAGCTATATATTGTTAACTTAAATATTTATTAATCTATTATTTATTTATTCCGACTTCGATGGCAGCTACAACCTATGTCAGCTACAATCCTGACGTAGATATCAGATCTGATCGCGGCCCCGCCCCTTCTCATGATGTCACCATATGGCAACTCCACTCGGACAAACTTTATCGCACCGGTTTCTTAAGTATCGGATCTCTTTTGGAGTCTCAACATATTATTCCCTGATAGCGCGATCTTTCCAATAAAGATGCGTTTGGCTCTTTGTTTAGAAGCAGCCAAGTTAGACTCACTTCAGCTCTGTCACGTTTTTAAAGTGACCATGCAATCAGCAAACTTTCTTTCCTCTTGATCAAGACGCTTTATTTTAAAAAATAAAAACAAACTTAGATTTTCTTACCGGAACTCATTTTGTTCCTTTTTTGCCACTTTAAAAAAACAATAATCAAAAGCGATCAAAAATTTTCGGCTGCGCTGCCTGAATCCAACCGGCCCCAATAGCCAACTCCAATATAATCCAGGTGCTGCACTCACCTGTCCATAATGAAGGGGCGGAGGCCAGAAACAGCTTAAATTATTCATAAATTCAACAATTTCATAATTAAGGCAGTCAACTCATACTTCAAACCAAAATATTTCATCTTCATATATATCATACCAAAACCAGACAAAAATAGTCAACTAGAAATAAATATTCAATCATAAATCAAGCATTTGGCTCCAACATTCCCCATATTTGCTCTTATTTTACGTTTCATTGATGATCTAAAGTAGAAATCAATCATCTTCAGTCTGGAAGCAAAGACAGACTGAGCTCTGCTATTTAACACGGAGACAGAAAAGTCTCGCTTTATTTTGTTCTTTTTATTAAGATCTGAGGTCAGGAAGGACGAATGGAACATCTTAACCCTTTAAAGCCCGATCCAAGAATAAAACAAAACTGTTTTTTTGGTTTGAAGTCCTTATTTTGCCTTTTAACAAAATATGTAAAAAGAAAAACAGAAATACATTTTTGATATTAATAATTTATTACTATGCGATAAGTCAAGATTATTTTTTGTGTCGTCTTCTACTGGCTGTTATCAGGTATATCTGATTGTGTACAATAGGATTTTGAGCAAAGTTTTTACCATTAAATTATGCAAAAGGTGACGCAAAACATTTCAGAAACCGTATGTATCAAATACGATACATTTGGCATTATAGGGTTAAAGTTGACTTTTGTAGAGATTTTAGACAAATAAAAGTTATTCTACTTGCAGAAAACGGTGGACACGAATTTAAAAGTAGTGTAGCCTAATATGACTAACTGACCAAGCTAAAAATAGCAGTTTGCAAATTTTTACAGGATAAAAATTCTGTGTAAAAATAAAAATTCAATGTATAAAAAAATATTGTTTAAAATGTGCTGTACAGAAAAAGGCAGATTCCAATGAGACTGTTTTTCTTCCATAGCTTCAGGACCACAGAGCAGAGTGGGTCGCATTGGAAAAAATCTGATCTGAGTTGTTCAGACTGTCATAAAAAGATCTGATCCACGTCACATGTGGGCAGAAAAATCAGATCCGTGTTCAGGCTGCAGTGTGAACGTAGCCTTAGTGACACTGTGTGGTTCTCGCTCCCTCAGCTGACTTTGGGGCTTATTCTCAGGCAGAACTTTATTTTTCCGTAACACATGTTTAAAAAGAAATGTTGGATTTAGAAAAGTGTCACTGAGTCAGAAATATGGAGGCATGTTTCATCTCTCAGTGGAGGAACCTCCACTGATCGTCCTTTAGGTGAGTGTGCTTTATTAAAGGTTTGGAAGTGAAGCTAGCAGAGCTGGAGGGAAAGTGTTTGATGCTTCCTCCAAGTCATACAACCACACAAAAGAATGGACATTAGCTACAAAGGCTGTAAAACATGGATAAACTTGCTAAGTATTCAGGTGAGCTCAAAGAAGAAATCTGCCCGGCAACAGCTTAACTTGACTGTTTAACTATATGAGGTAACACTGCGTACAATAATGAATCTGTTGAAGGAAAGCAGAGAAAAATCTTTAACCAGATCCCGTAAACCAAACGGGAAACATAAAACACACAATAAAAAAAGCAAAATAAACAAGGTTTTTTTTTGCATAATAAAAAAATAATATATGCTGAATGAAATAGGTTAGAGCTTTATTAGAGCATCTCCAATCTATTAGCATTGATCTTTACTCGCTGGAAATTTTAAAGCACAAAAAGTTGTAAAATTGAGAACATTGGCAAGTTTAGAAAAGGCCTTTAAAACCTTTGAACATATCAGAGGATCTAAAAACATTTAAATAACGTCATAAATGGCGTCTGTGAATTTCCTCCATCTCTTCCTGTTTCTCTCATATGGATCGCCCTTTTAAATGAGACCGACGCCATGGGTTTCACAGCTGATTGATTGAATATTTTAATTGGTCATTGTCATGCAGAGTTTACAACATTCTTCATTTTGCAGCCGATTACTTTTTAGCTAGAGGAATAAATTCGTTCTGCTACTTTTTGCAGGAATGGTTTCCTTACAAATCAGCTTCTTTTGTTCGACATCCTCGGCAACAAACCCAAACCTCTGCCAGACATCGCTCAGCTGGAACACCCGCTGTCGCCATATTTAGTTTGCTGGAGGAGGGGTTTATGTTGCATTCAAAGTGTGTGGGGAAAAACGAAACTCTAAGTTTAACAGATGCAGATGGATTAATGTTGAATCCCTGTATAATCTGTGTATCATTCGTTCTTTCTATTTTCAATTGCCAATCAAAAAACAAAAAATAAAAATTGACTGGTTATTTTGTTTTTTGTTTTTATGGTTAAACCAAAAACGAAAAAAGGATTTGTTTTTCATATATCAATTCTAAGCTCCGATCAAGAATACGAAATGGAAAAACAGACAGCAACGCAGAATTTGTTTTTAATATTTAATCGGTACAGTGTACGTGACCCGGAAATAGCTCTTTGCGCGGCAGTTGGGGTAATGAAGCGGCTACCATGGCGACGCTAGAACCACACACTATGTTGATCGAGAAGCTGTTTGTTGTTGCTACTTAAAAGTACAGTGCACAGAAAAGTTTCAAGAAAGAAGTTATACCTGGAAAATCCAGCTGATTTTCTCCGTTTTCATGTCCTCCTCCTTAAGAGGAGGATCCTCGAAATAACACGTAACTGTCCATGGCTGATAGGTCCGACTGCCTTATCTGGTGCAGCTTGATCGAACGTGGTGGGGGTAAGCCAATTGTGTTTTTAGCTAACGCTCCACCAAACTTCCGGGTCACGTAAACTGTACCGATTAAATATTAAAATCAAATTCTGCGTTGCTGTCCGTTTTTCCATTTCGTATTCTTGATCGGAGCTTAGAATTGATATATGAAAAACAAATCCTTTTTTCGTTTTTGGTTTAACCATAAAAAACAAAATAACCAGTCAATTTTTTATTTTTTGTTTTTTGATTGACAATTGAAAATAGAACGAATGATACACGGATTCTGTATGGTTCTTTCTTTGGTTTTTTCGTTTCAAAACAAAAACAAAAAAACAAAACAAGCATGTGGTTTTTTGTTTTTCCGTTTTTAAAACGAAATTAGAAAGACGGCATTTACAAAAATGAAAAGGGGGTACGTTTTTTTTGTTTTTTTTTTAACTGCAATGGTTAAACCAAAGACAAACTTTTATTTTTTTGTTAATTCAACGGACCTTATGGCAGAACCAGAAATGACCTGAACTCCCAACACAGAACTTTTTTAGTAACCAGTAGGGGACGGTAATGTACGCCTGCAATTTCTTGCCAACCGCCATTACAATCCACAAGAAGAAGAACTTAGCATTACCAAAATGAAAACGTTTGTGTTATTTAGAGGGAATAATTCATTGAGAGCTAATGACCGTCAACAAGATCTCTAATATTCCAAGTTCCAAGTCGGCGTCCGACACATCGTTGTGTCTTCGCAAGTTGTGCTCCATATAAACCTTCTGACACTCATTAGCGAGTAATGTGGAGCTCCATGGCAGCCAAAGCATCACTGATTTCAGAGTGTTTTTCCTCTCTCAAAAAGTTTGATAATCGATGCAGAAAACGGTTCAAGTGCAGCCATTGCCTTTTTTTTTTTAGAAATGGTTTGTTTTGGTGCCATCTTCATCCGCTGTACATGGTTTTTCTTTGGCTACTGGTACCGCTACATATTAAACAACAACCGTATTTTATTTTTATTTAGATCGCAAAACAAAACTGTTAATTTTCTATTAATTCGATTTTTTCATTTTAGGTTTTAAAAACAGAAAAAACAGAAAAACCACATGCTTGTTTTGTTTTTTTTAATTTTTGTTATGAAACGAAAAAAACCAAAGAACGAACCATACACGGATTATGTCGCCATGTGACTTTGGACTCGATGGCTGCGACAGAGTTATTGTAATTGCGCGTGTGGAAACTCTAGATGCGTAGAGTATATACGATATATCGCCCAGCTCTAATCTGAAGCATGGATCAGAGTAAAAGCTGCTCTGAAAGACTCTTAGCACTTAACCCGTTATAGCGTAGGTCTTCAATATGGAGGTACTGCATGAGGGTCGGTAAAGTTTTGGTTGATCAGACTTTTTTTATATTCCCTCCTGCAATTTTTTCCACTGATTGAAATGTCTTTAAATCCACATTAACATGAATTGAACAGACTGTAGTAAACAGATAAATGGAGGCAGAAGATGTCTTTCAGTCATCAATGCTCACATTCAGAGACACACAGGAGCTCTTTCAAGCTGGGCACCGTTTCATTCACAACACCTGTCCCATCAACCAGGAATCAGAAATACTTTAATAATCCCAGGGATTACTTTAGTTACATTAGTCCATCTGTTTGATAGAACACAAGTTGAAACAATATATATAATAAGGGGGTCCCCGCTCCATCTGGCCATCAGTTTGGGGACCTTGGAAATGTTGGTTTATAGTAGGGGTGTAAATCACACCCATCATGGAGATTCGATTCAGTATCAATTTCCTGACCCAACGATTCGATTATTTTCGATACTCAAGAATACACCACGATACGATTCAACACCTTACAGGCTAGACAATGTTTCACATTTGAAATAAATCAATGAAAGCTATAATATCGTTATGCATTTTATTTGAGAAACAACAGCAAATAACAGAAGTAGAAAAGTTGAACTCCACCTATTCCTATTAAAGCCTCATTCACTGAAAAATAATAATATCCCTGCGTTATAGATTCTGAAAGGCCTTGCATCAAAAATACTGCACAAAATCAGTGCAATGAGTGCAATGCAATACCTCGGCTTCAGACGTCCCGCCCCCTCCACAGACGCTCCGCTGCTCCTCTCCCAGATTGTAGCTGACCGCAGACAGCGCCGCAGACAGGAGGCCGGCTTGTTTTGTTTTTATGACTGAAATTGCGGAAAACAGCTCGTGAAGTTTGACCCGCTAGAAGAGCGAGGTGCGCGAGAACGCTGGGACCCTTTTTCCACCTGGATCTCCGCTCTTCTTGGCCCTCATGTCCCTCCGTCGTCGGACTAAACTCCCCCCACTTCCTCGCCGCCTCGGCCGTATCTAGACCCACAGTGTGTAGCGCAGACCACGCTTCAATACTGAGCATAAATCAAAAATGTCTGCATCAAGCTCACTGCTACACACTGCTGCAGGAGGATAACCAGGAAGCGAGGTAGGAGGGCACAATAGGTTTAGCGCCACCGCAGCACAGGAGGAGAATTACGCCCAGGAGCAAATGGATGAAAATAGACCATAAATCGATACTCTTGCGGACGTATCAATGCATCGGATCGTCGGCTGCTGGATCGATGCATCGATACAAAACGATTATTATTTACACACCTAGTATATAAATGTACTCTTTATCAGAAAATTTCTATAAAAAAAAAAAACCTGTCCTAAAATCTGTGTTGTTTTTTTTAAGCCGCCCTGGCGTCCTCTTCCACAACATCTTCGTCCCCGCTTTCCTCCTCTAAATAAAAAATGGATGACGGAGGAGACTCATCCACGACCTCCGACACTAAACTCTCCTCCTCTTGCATGTTTCCTCTGTCCATAGCGTTCCTTGACAGCGTCGTTTCTAAATCACCAATTTAGTGCTACTTGGTCCCAATGGAATTTCCCATTGGGAACCTGCTAGCACTAAGTTGCTAACTGGTTAGCAAGATGCTTCCGACAAACCGGCCACAACCAAACTTGCTTGCGAACCTTCTGCCACAACACTCCCACCCCTTTGATAAATGTCCAATCAAATTCACTTTATTTATTAACTCGTGTAAAATCGTGCGCCACTGGGAGAATTCAGAAATGCTACGGTTGGAACGGCCGCTTCCCTGCGACTTTAAACTGGTAAAATAATTGCATGTAATCACAATATTAAGCTAAGAAATCACTATTAGATTATTTTCCAAAATCGTACAAGTCAACAAACAAGGTAAAAAGCTAATTGAAAAGTAAAAAAATTAAGTGAAAAAGTTAATAAACCTAGTTAACAATTATATTTAGGTTTATAAACTACAAAATATCAGTGCCAGTATCAACAGTGATGCCTCTAAGGTTATGTTGGACCAAAAAAATGTTTCTTTCACTCTGAGGATTTTTCATGAATTTCTTATAGAAGCACTTTTGCTATTTTTCTTAATATATTCTGGCAAATTGGTATTTCTTGTTATTACATCAAAATATCCACATATTACATAGGAAATATGGTAATAAGGTAATAATGTAAGTAGTTTGATAAATTCGGCTTTATGGCCTACTTTCATTTTTTTTCATGAAAATGTTGTAAACTGGTTCAAAGTTACTTGACAAGATTATTGGTTAATTTTATATGAAACTATGAACATATTAATTTTTAATATAAAACATAGAAAAGAACAGTTCTTTTTTATTGCCTTAGTAAATTTAATAGTAATCAAAGGAATAGGGAATATGTTTATTTTCATTTTGTTCAGGGCTCTCAGCAACTCGTCTTTATGAGCGTTCTCCCACGATCTGTAATCAAATATTTTACAGAAAAAGATAAAGGGGAATTCATACCATATTGCGAGGTACAGCACACATTTCATTGTGCAAAATGTGAAAATTGCCATATAGATAAAATGCATTACTGCTGTCATCCCAAGTAGTACCTGACTTTGCCTTATAAGACTTAAGAAAACACTAATGCTAAAATATTTTATTCTCATTTATTTTACCAGGCCGTCACTGCAGACATGGTCTGCTGGTCTCCACTGTCTACATCTCCCAAGCATTGCCCTGCAGATTCCCCCCAAACACAGATACACAAGCTGCAACAGCAGCAGATGGTGTCCCATGGGAAGCTGGGAAGACTGCAGCATTCATTGCAGATCCAGAAGGCCAAACTAGAATATCAGGAGTCTATGTTGGCGACCCAGAAGGCTCTCATTGACAACCAGGCATCTGAGCTGGAGAGTCTAAAGACTATGCTGGAGGAAATGAGGAGGAGGCTGTTGGATCTGGAGCAGTCGCATGCTTCACATAGATGTAACGCCCAAAGGGTAAAAGCTCAAGATGTAGCTACTGCGCCACAGCCTCCAATGGCAAACCTCCAGAGTGTTCCAGGATCTACCTATATTATGATCCTAACATCATCCCCATTCCAAGCTTTTCCTTCCTGTCTAGCAACTCCGGGTCAGGCCTCTCCCTCCTATACATCAATGCCTACTGAAGTCTCTCCCTCCCATAAACCTACGCCCGCTCAAGTCTCTCCCTCCCATAAACCTACGCCCGCTCAAGTCTCTCCCTCCCATAAACCTGCGCCCGCTCAAGTCTCTCCCTCCCATAAACCTACGCCCGCTCAAGTCTCTTTTTCCAATACATCTACGTCCTCTCGAGCCTTTCCCTCCCATACACCTAAGAGCTTTCAAGTCTCTACCTCCCATACATCAATACCTGCTCAAGTCTCTCCCTCCCATATATCTACGCCCCCTCAAGTCTCTCCCTCCCATACATCTACCTCCTCTCGAGTCTCTCCCTCCCATACATCTACCTCCTCTCAAGTCTCTCCCTCCCATACATCTACCTCCTCTCAAGTCTCTCCCTCCCATACATCTACCTCCTCTCGAGTCTCTCCCTCCCATACATCTACGCCTATTCAAGTCTCTCCCTCCCATATATCTACGCCCTCTCAAGTCTCTGCCTCCCATACATCTACGTCCGCTCAAGATTCCAACTCTCCAGACCAGTCAGTAGACCGACCAGCACCAGTGTCTATATTACCAGACATCACTTTGAGGACACTATCATCGGATAGAGAGGAGACTTTATACAAAAACTAATTTTCTCGTGGACAACATCAACCAGATGTGTACGCAGCTAGCGTCTTCATGAGTCTTGTGCCATTTAAAGCATACAACAGCATGGTGAAGAGATGCAACTGGGCAGGCACAAATGGGAAAATGGGTCTTCCTAAGAATGTCACGGAGCGGGTTCATTCTTTGGTTTCCCAGCGGTTTCCCAACTTGACTGTCGACCAGTGGCACAAGATTCGCTCTAGAGTGAACGAGCGCCTGAGGTGTCCGCGTAAATTTGACCGTGTAACACCCCGCTATGGCTTTAACTACGACTAAAATTATGATTTGAATTCAGTTGTGTGACCTGTTTTAATCCCATTCATAATGAAATCTAATAAAATTCTGAAATAAGGTTTGTCTGTCATTCAAAGTTTATCCAACTCTCACTGCTGTAACTCGTGTGCTTTGGGGAGCGGGATGCAAAAAGCTAACTGTTCATAATGTAACATTGCAGATGTGTTTTAACATACAACAAGTTTCTATTGGACTTATTAAGAGCTGTTGGGGTTTGTGATGTAGAAAAAACGACGATGACCATAAGATGACAAAAAAGGCAACAAAGGGCTCCATCGGTTTTCCAGAGTTCTCTTGTTTTCTTTTAATTTCTTTTCACAAAAATGTGTACCATCAGCTCACCACTGCAGATCCTAAACCTGGTCCCCTGCATCTCAGGACAAGCAGAAACATGTACGCCATTTACACTACCCTTGAAAAACCGTGCCAAGACCGGTCTGAGCTCAGCAACTGAGATAAGTTATCGCAAACTGAACTGAACCGAGCTAGACACAACCGGACCGCGCTAACTGCAGACCGGTTCCAGAGGTGGGCTCGGCTCGGTTTTTCCCTGGCTCGGTTCTCTGATAACGAGCGCATGAGCAGAACGCGTCATCTCCCTCTGGCTGCACATCGCGATTCACACTCCATTCCAGTGGTTGGCAGTAATGCCCCTCCGGAAACAGAAGAAGAAGAACAACTTCTTCTTCACCTATAAACAACAATCGAAATCTTCTCCACGCAACATTTTAAATAATAACACCGAAGTACAGCAATAATAATCAAGCATAACTATCTGAATGCGACAGGCGCCGCCATTTTGCTTTGCTTGATTACCTCCTCCTTCGTCTTGTTTACCGCCACCAACTGCTTGATTTCCTCCTTCAATACTGGCAGTAATACCGCAGATCGTCACTAGGAGGCGAGGAGTTGAGGAACCGAGATAGCGTGATGTGTAAACGGTTGTCAGAACCGAGCTCGGCCTGGTTAACTGATCCGAGCTCGGACCGGTCTCTGCATGGATCGGTTTTTCTAGGGTAGAGTAAATGGGGCTTTAGTTTTGGAGCAACCCATCTTGAAAAAGAAGAAAGAAAAACTCGTAACTAGATTCGGCAATCCTGCTTAAATATATAGAGATGCTACAACTATTTCAAACTAGGAGGGGGCAGCTACAAAAAACATTAATAAATTCACGTCATTTCAAATGCATACACATCCACTTGACTAAGCAAAACAAAGATAATATGTAAAAAGTACAAAGAAAGAAAAATTGAAAGTTTGACAGAGGGACAATCAGGAAGTAGCTGTGGGTCTAGATATGGCCGAGTTATCTACGTTAACCCACGCAGACAACCTGGTTCCTGAGAATAAACCAGGCTTAAGGCTGTCCTCGAGAATATCTCTACAAAAACATTTTTTTGACCTATCTGCTTATTCTACAGGCTTCACAGCAACATGAGTCCTTTAAAAGTTATCTATTCGCAATAATACTAGAAGATGATTATTAAAATGTATTTAAATTAAGTTCTGACAGCATGGCTGTAAAAAATGTTGCACATATTGCACATCAACAGTTCAACCAGTGCTTAAAGATGGCCTGGAGCTCGGTTAGCTTGTATTTATTGTGTTTATTTATTTTATCAGGACAGAGCACATTAATGAACAATCTAATACTTCTGTACAGCTTGTAAATGAGCCAGATTGTAGCATAGTTGCTAATTTAAATCTGTCGTCCTGAGGCAGGATGTATATATTTATATAGTTATCTTCACTGTTTGCACCATTGGAATAATGTCACATTTTTGTTTGTTTGGCGTGACGACACTTCAGCAACACAGGTTTACTACTTGAGCTTGATCAATTAGGCTATGTTGCTTACCATTACTTATTGTTACCGTGAATAAACAAAAACGAATTCTTGTGATACATTTGGTCCATATCTCTGATCCCTATTTCAGATGAGTGGCTTCATGGAGGCTAATGCCAAGTTTAGTGGAGATGAAATGGAGTTCTAATTAAGTTTGTGGTGAAACTGCAATTTGGCATCTTGAGAGGAAAAAGGAAAAGTCCGTTTATATTCAGAATTCAAACTTCTGAAAGTTCTTTAAATCTGAAATGATTCCATCCTGTTCAATAAATGATCAGTGTTTTTAATTCAGAGTAATTTTCATGTGAATGTGCTTTACTGGAGGCATCCATGTTTGTCAAAGAACACTACTGCCACCTACTGGTTAGTGACATTGTCACGGTGCGGTATCGGCTGTTGATCAAGTCCCAGTGCTGTATCTGGTGTTTGTCACAACGCGCTATTATCCAAGTCATCTTGAAAACATTCTTCTTCCAAATGTTGGCTACATATTACGGGTTTTTTCTCTGGCCAGAAGTTCGATGGCAAATCCTCCCTCTTCAAGTTGGCGATCCAACGACCAACCCGTCCGTGGAGGATCAGGAATCAGAAAGGTGGAATAACTCTTTTTTCCACTTTTACCCGATGTATTCCAGCATCCAGCTGCCATGCACGTGGGCATTGTCAGTTTCACTATAGCTCTGGTGAATTTCAATGGTGAAGTCCTCTGGAAATCTTCAATAATTGTTGTCGATTGCAGATGTGTCTAGTAGTTCCCATTGATTTAGCTTGGAAAGCGGGGAGAATGGCGCTAGGCTTACCGCACCGTGACGTCACTGCTGGAAGATGGCAGGAGGGAGGGGCTACTATATTTGGGCAAAAATGGCCGCTCCCAGACTCAGTGATCGCGATGAAAATGATTATTTTTTGTTTTGTTTTACTGGTTAACACTACATTTATTAAATCTATAAATATTGATCCATCAATCATTCATTGCTGACTGGTCTTCTTCCTTAAACTGGAGGCTTTTTTTAACACTTGACTCACCAGTTTTTCTAGGAATGTTGAAGCTTCACTCAGTTACGCTTTCATTTCTCTGAAACAGTTAAAGCTCACATCCAGTTTCATTCTGAATCAGCTTCACTTTTCCTTTATAATGTTTAAAAATCAACAATTTGAGGAGAACTGAAAGATTAGAACAGGATCCAATCCAACCCCAATTTATAAAGCACTTCTAACACAAAACTAAATCATCATGAAAAGAAAAGAATTTCAATAAAATGTAATACATTCAGTTTATTTATTTCATGCCATGTCATCTCAGGAGTTCACTAAAATAAATAAACGAATACTGTCTGATTCAGACAGCAGCAGAACTAAAAAAAAACATTCATAAACCTATAAATTGCAAAGAGCAGCAGGATGAAAAGTTTTTAAATTTCTCTGGTTCTGATGGTGACAGAATTTGGGTCAAACTTTGAGGTTCCAGAGTCTCTGACCTGCTTCGTTGAAGAGGCGTTAAAAAACGTGTTTTTTAAATAACCTGAATGTGATAAAACCAGCAATTAAAACTGCAGAAACTATGGTAACCATGGTAACAGTGTAGCATCTTCTTCCAGCTCCATCCCTGCTGCCGGTTCTACCATCATCATCCTCTGGCTGTTTGAAGCTGTCCATCACGCCGTCCCGTGTCTCAGCTGCAGAGAACAGAACCGAGCGGTCGGATCAGAACCCCTCAGACAGAACCAGAACCCCAGAGCCCCACACCCACCTGCAGGGGTGACCGTCAGCCTGATGGCGTGGCTGATCTCAGAGTGCTGCCTCCTGCTCTCCACCATCAGGTCGCACTCGTACAGACCGGCGTCCTCCCAGGTGGCGTTCTTCAGGATCAGAGAGGCGTCTCCGCCCTTCATGCCGCCGTCCCGCAGCATCACTCTCCCCTGGAAGCGGCGGTGCTGGTAGTTCTCAAAGCAGCGGCTGTTCCTGTAGAAGTAGACGTAACCGTCGGCCTTCAGGTCCGCTCTGCTCCACTTCAGAACCGAGATGCTGTCCAGGCTGCTGTCGCTCTGACACAGCAGGGTTACATCCTGATTCAGGGGAACGCTGACTTCCTGCTGGCCTGGAGGCGGGACAAGCAGCAGCAACATTTGATGAGCTCCACATTACCAACACTGTCTAGAAATAAGTCAACATTTCTTAAATTACAGGGGAACGCCGTTGTTCCCATTGGTCCCTTGATTTCCCGTTATTCCATCATGTTCTATCACCCATATTAGTTTAGTGTCATCTGGAGCCGTTCTGAAGATATTCCGTTAGGTTATATCCAGTAACGTCTTCCTATGGGCAACAACTTGAAGGCACAAACTAAACTGTTCATCATTTATTCTTTATGGTACGCCAGCATTCAGAACATGGAGGCCAATCACTGTCCCCCAGACATCCACCGTTAGATTTTTTATATTTATATATTTTTTTAAAAGAGGAGTGTTTATGACGTCATCTGCGCGCTCCAGCTACCATTGGGAACTTATTTAGATCCGGCCAGAAAACAACATTTTGTGCCTCAAATCACAGTTAAAGAAGAACTTAATTTAACTCCAGTCTGTCACATCATCACATCACTACATTTTATACGTTTGTAAATGAAGACACATCTATGGCTCCAGCCTTATCAAAATATTACATTGGCCATTTCTCAAGTCATAAGAACGTCACTATGGACTTGTGTTCTAATCAAGTACGTTCTTGAGAAGAACCCAGGATAGTCTCTTAACGTTAGCCCCGGCCGCTGCAGAGGGGCTGACGTTAGCCCCGGCCGCTGCAGACGAGCTAACGTTAGCCCCGGCCGCTGCAGAGGGGCTGACGTTAGCCCCGGCCGCTGCAGACGAGCTGACGTTAGCCCCGGCCGCTGCAGAGGGGCTGACGTTAGCCCCGGCCGCTGCAGACGAGCTGACGTTAGCCCCAGCCGCTGCAGACGAGCTGACGTTAGCCCCGGCCGCTGCAGAGGGGATGACGTTAGCCCCGGCCGCTGCAGACGAGCTGACGTTAGCCCCGGCCGCTGCAGACGAGCTGACGTTAGCCCCAGCCGCTGCAGACGAGCTGACGTTAGCCCCAGCCGCTGCAGACGAGCTGACGTTAGCCCCGGCCGCTGCAGAGG